AAATATATTTGCCAAATTTTATCGAGATAGGTCTCGATAAAATTTGGCAGATATATTTTTGAGCTGTATTTGATATATTTCCCTGAATATCGTTGTTACGGAGTGCATATTCCGTAAATGGAATCGGATGTTAATATCGCATTTTATTAGCATAATGGATATTCAAAATTTCTACCTTTTGTGTGGGAGGTACCAGAAGACCGAGGGACCAATATATTCCGTCTTAATACCAAATCTTTGGTAAATATAAATATTGGGATTTGTGAAATTTGAAGAATCGGACTCTTAAAGCACATTTTATAAGAGTTGTAATTATTGAAAATTTTGACCCTTTGTTGAGGAGGTACTTCATGGAGTGGAGCGATATTATCCGTGCTCGCACCTGACCTAGCACGGACGCAAATATCAGGATTTTCAAAGTTGGAGCAAAATCGGATTATCGTTTTTCTATCTGTGCGAAAAATATATTTTTTTAACATTTTTTTTGACCATTTGTGGAGGAGGTTCCAGAAGGAGTGGACCGATATATTTCATCTTACACCAGACCTTGGGTTAATAAAATGATTGGTATGTGTGAAATTTGAAGACAATCGGACTCTTACATCACATTTTATAAGAGTTGTATAAGAGTTATTTTTAAAAATGTTGACCCTTTGTGGGTGAGATTCATGATGGTGTGGACCGATATTATACATTTTCGCACCTGACCTGGCACTGACACAAATATCTGGATTTGCACAGTTGGAGCAAAATCGGATTATCTATTCTCTTTGTGTTCAGTAAAATATTGTTTTGAAAATTTCGATCATTTGTGGGGGAGGTACCAGAAGGAGTGGGCTGATATTGCACATCTCCGAACTCAATCTATGTTTGACAATAATATTACGATATACCAAGTTTTAACGAAATGGGATACTCTTCGAAAATTTTCGTGCACACCAGCCAGCCAGCCAGATAGATAGACGGATGGACGGGCATCTCTAGATCAACTCCAAATGTTCTGAATCGGATTTGGTCCAAAGAGACCTAGGGTCTAAAACCGTTATTTCGACAAGGCACATTTTGATCGTATCAAATGATATATACCCTTTCTAGCCATATGACTGAGGGTATAACTAGCCATTTGGCTGAGGGTTTCAGAATGCCGAATATTATCGCGAAAATATTTTGGAGGGTGTATTAAAGCCTTGGGCACGCAAACATTTTTGCCGCAGACCTTGGATATTCCAACAGGACTCAGCATCTTCGCATTCAGAACGCGCCAACCAAGAATGGTTACAAAATGAGGTTTCTCGCTTCATTTCCAGCACACAATGTCCACCAAAATCTTCGGATATCAATCCGTTGGACTATTGTGTCTGGAGCATTTTGGAAAGCTAGATTGGCACTAAAAAATACCAAAGTGTCGATCACCTCAATCAAGCGCTTCGCCGGGAATGGGCCAAAATACTGCAGAGCAACATTCGGGCAGCGTGTGACGGTTTCATTGGCCGTTTGAAGGCCATAATTCGTGCCAAAGGTGACCAATTCGAACAAATCTAAACTAATTCTAAAATTTGAAGCTATTTCCGACATTTTTTGCTTTCATTTAAAAAAATTAAAAAAAAGTAAAAATTATGGCGTTTGACTTTGTTGCAATTTTTTTATCTCATCCTGTATGTCCTTGTTGACAAATATTTGAATTTCCGATTCCTAGTTTCAAAAGATTCCTTTATCTTTTCAAAGAATAGAGTTTTCTTTTAAAATACTTCTACGTCACACTATTAACCAATTTGACAATAGGCTCCTTATTCCATACCTTCAAGAGCACCTATAATGTTAAAGGAAATAAGTTCCGCGCGCCTCCGAGTAACTTACTTGTATTTGCCACACAAATATGTGTATCACATATTAAACGTATGAATATTAGAATTTCTATGTAGTATGTATGTTTATGAAGAGGTGTAATTAAAACCGGCAGTAATTACTGCTGACGGCCGCTTTTATCTACGTATGGATATCTATGTATATATGTATGTTGTTGATTTATTATTATTTTTATTATTTGTTCACAATGAAATTGTAGTTTAAGACTTAAAATACTATAAAGCTATTTTCAGTTTCAGTTACATAATGTATGTGTATGTATTTGTGAGTGTTTTAAATATATATTTACTCTTTTGTTTTAATACATAGTTTTTTTTAATTAAGATTAAAATAAGTTTTAGTTCTTGTTTTAATTCTTTGTATAGCATAATTTGTGTTAAGGTTTTGGAGTTCTATAGAAGTTCAGCAAGATTTTTGTAGTATTTAAAGGGATTGTTGTTAGATTTGGTTTTATTTTCTTTCTTTTTTGCTAAATATATATGTATGTATATTAAGCTAAGAACTGTAACCTGTATATGAGTATATATAGGCTTGCTTTAATATATAAATGTGTATATATATGTATGTATAATAATTTAGAGATTGTTCATTTGGTCTGTGTTAGTTACAAGAGTTGTGGTTGTTTTTGCTTTGAAGTTTTTCCTATAATATATTTATTTTTTTAATGTTAAATACATTTTTTATAAAATGTTGTTATTCATTTTCACTTTTAAATTTGTTGTTATAGTGCTCTCTTTTTTATGCAGTTTATAAATGTGTTAACATATTTGCGTTTTTGTGGCTGTTTCTGCTTCCTGTTTTAACACCATCAAATTGATGAAAAACTGGTTTTGTTTTAATTGTTACTATTTATATATTTAGGTTTTTTTCACAAATATGAAGTTGTTTTTATATTGTGCTCTCTTTTTCAGTATTAGTTTTCATTTATTACTGACACTACTAATATTTATTTGTTTTTCTCTTTAATAGTTTATAATTGCATTTGCTATTAGGGGTATTAAGTGGTCCGGAATGTTTTGTTACATTAATTGTTTATATAGTATTATTTAAGAGGCTCGAAATGGGTACAGACCAAAATAGAATGAATGAATAAGGAAATGGGTAAATAAATATATAAGGAAGTTAGTAAAAACAATTCAATGAATTAATAATAAATCAATAATAAAAAATAATAATTAAATAAAAAACAATTATAACAATAAACAAGTGTATAATAATTAAATAAAAATAAATTAATGGAAAACAATAAGACTAAATTAATACTCAAACAAATGATTAATATTAAATTAATACTCAAATAAATGAATAAAATTATCCATATTAATTATAGGTATATAAATAAATACGTAAAAAATCAAATATTAATAACAATAATAAATTAACTAATTATTTAAACATTTAAGTAAGACAATAATAAAGAAAAGTTACTAAATAGAATTGAAAATTAATCTCTTTCAATCATCACATCTTTTTCTGATTTTCAAGAAAATAATTACCTCTTGCAAAGATTTCATAAACTACAGGGTTGCCCATATTCGACGGACCTTTGAGCCCATTCCAATCGACGAGGCTTGTTCGCAGGCAACATTCTTTGCGTCAATTGAATTTTGTACGGGAACAAATGCAAATTAATGCGAATAATGCGTTGTAAAGTGGACCGGAGCCATGCCCAACTGCTGAGAACGGCGTTTTTGGGATGTTCTTGGGGACCTCTCAACACTGGCTCGTACGGCAGCGATATTCTCGGCCGATCGCCTTTGGCGACTTTTATATAGCCTCTTCGGATTAGAAAGAGCCTTACCAGTCGAAAATTTTTCGTATAAATGCTTAATGGTGTTATTAGAAGGCGCACTTCTCACATTTTTTAATGTTTTAAAAGCACGTTGAGTTTTCACAATTGACTTCTTGTTAATTTCAATTTTATTTCAATTTTAGAGCGCTCGCGTGACGTGTATTAGTTCATGGTAAAAATCTGCTTGGACTGACGCTTCAAACGCGGTATGTCATTAAGCGATGTGACATCTCTGTCAAAAGTTATGGCGTTGCCAGATGGGTCCGTCGAATATGGGCAACCCTGTACCTCTTGAATAAACCCAGTATTCATCTTTTCATAAATGGCCGACAGATCTTCTCTTAGAATACCAAAAAGCTAACAGGACTTTTCACGAAATGCCTACAGGTCTTCCCGACGAAAAAACCATAAAGAAAACAAAAAGTGAAGAAAACCAAAAGGTATTTTTATAGAAAATTAAAAGATCTTTTTATAGAAGACCAAAAGGTCTTCTCATAGAAGATCAAATGGTCTTCTCATAGAAGACCCAAGGGTTTTTTATAGAAGAACAAAGGTTCTTCTCATAGAAGACCAATATGTCTTCTTATAGAAAACCAAAAAGTCTTCTCATAGAAGACCAAAAGTTCTTTTCATAGAAGACAAACAGGTCTTCTCATAGAAAACCAACAGGTCTTCTCACAGAAGATCAAAAGGTCTTCCCATAGAAGACCAAAGGGTCTTCCCACAGAAGACCAAAGGGTCTTCCCATAGAAGACCAAAGGGTCTTCCCATAGAAGACCAAAGGGTCTTCTCATAGAAAACCAAAGGGTCTTCCCACAGAAGACCAAAGGTTCTTCTCATTGAGGGCCAAAAGGTATTTTAATATAAGACCAAGTAGGTATTTTTATAGAAGACCAAAAGTACTTCTCAGAGAAGATCAAAAGGCCCTCTCATAGAGCACCAAAATGTCCTCTCATTTATGACCGAAAGGGGTTCTCATAGAATACCAAAAGGTCCTCTCAATGAAGACTAAAAAATTCCACTTACAGAGGACCAAGAGGTCCTGTCAAAGACGACCGAAAGGGGTTCTCATGGAAGACCAAAAGGTTTTGTCATTGAAGACAAACAAGTCTTCTCGTACAGGACCAAAGGACATATCCTAAAATAGGCTTCACAAAGAAGACCAATACACCTTCTTTGAAAAAATAAAGACATTAAAAATAAATTTTCTTTTAACAAAGCATGTCATGTTCGAAGACATTATAAAACACATTATTTTGTTGCGGGATATTAAAAAGAATTTCAATAATATAGAAATTCTCAGAAATATATATAAAAAGGTATACTCATTTTTTATTGCATAAGGACCCTGAAAAAAGCTTTCAATATTTTCCAATAAATTTTAAGTGAAAAATGTTCTCGGAATTCGAAACAAAACAATACAATAGAAGGCCGTACAGAATAATAAGGTATTGCATAAAATTCAAACGAAGATGAGGAAACTAAAAACAATTTGGATATTTGCTATCCTTTATTGCTTGTGTTATAAACCTCTTAGTATTTACGTTATATTTTTCTGAGTTCTATTTTTTTCTCCTTGCATTAATTTGGATTATTTTGATAGGTTTTTTAGTTTTTCTTTTTTGTTGGATTTGCTATTTACATTTCTTTTATTAAATATATAAATTTTTATGGATGATTGTGTCCTTTGGAAACCTTTGCTCACACAAACATACATAAAATTCAAAATACTCTTTCGTAGTAAAACATAAAATTAGATGGGATGTCGACACTCACATTTACATACAAACATGCAAACAAAGAAGGCGAAGGACTCGAAGTCTAACCACAATAAATGAAATGTAAATGAGAATAAAAAGAGCCAAACAAAGTTAGTGATGATTACAGGTTTATGAGTGTTTGGGGCAAATGCCCATTTCCTTCTTCCTTGCTGGAGTCACACATATATGAGTGTGTTTTATGCCTGTATGTGGGTACACATATCCTTACTAGTCATTTAGTTTTGTTTAACTTACAAAGTTATGTTTGTGGGGGAGGGGCGGTCTTCGTGCTGTTTGTTGCCTGTGCCGTTATTCTGTGGTTTGTGGTTGCAAAAAGGCAGTTGTGTTGTTTTTGCTACTTTTGCAAAAATTATTAAGTACTTTTTATTACTTTCGTTCTTATTATAAACTAAATCTCTTTAATTTACTTTTGTTGATTTTATATATAGCTGTGTATGTTTATACCTGGCATGTGTGAGGAAGTTCCCTTGTGGTAAAGTGCTTTTGGAATGCTGGAGAAAAATAAAAAGAAAATAGAAAAAATATATTATTTTTATTAACGTTATTATAGAAGGTATATATAGAAAATTTAAGAGTTCTTAAAAGCTTAAATTTTTGTACCAAAACATTTAATTGAATGAAGTGGATAATGCCACTAAAATCATCAAAGTTCTGTTATATGGAGGCTATACGAAGGCTACGCCCTGCACCCATTAGGAACTTCGAATTTCCGTTAAAAAATGTGACATAAATCATGAAAATACCGAATATCTGGAGGCACAGTTATATGGGGACTATACCAAAACTTAAACTATATTGAGAGTTCTATGAAAGGATGTTTCTTAAATAATGGGAACACATATTGCCAATTTAAAGCAAAATTGTTCGGAAGCTAAAGTGATTTCCACAGACGGACAGATAAACATCGCTGAATCGACATAGAATTTTATGCTGATCAATAAAATTTATACTTTGTGGAGTCAAAATTTTTGAGTAAATGGCCAATTTTTAAAAAGAATAATTATTGGCCTTCTGTTAGAAGATATTTGAGAAAAAATAGCTTGGTCATTGGTATTTTGGCTAAGTCCCGACGAAGCGCTTGCTTGAGGTGATCGACACTTTGGTATTTTTTAGTGCCAATCTTGCTTTCCAAAATACTCCAGACACAATAGTCGAACGGATTGGTATCCGGAAATGAAGCGAGGAACCTCATTTTGTAACCATTCTTGAGTGGCGCGTGCTAAGTGCTATAGTGCTGAGTCGTGTTGGAATGTCCAAGGTCTGCGGCCAAAATGTTTGCGTGTCCAAGGCATTAGTACACCCTCCACAATATTTTCGCGATAATATTCGGCATTTATTGTCGATTATTATCATGGCCGGCGCTTGAGTTTTGGTGGCCAACCGAAGGTGCACATTTACAGCTGAAATAAACACCATAATTTTGTTTGTTCACAAACTGCTGGCCAACGAAAGCTTTCTCATCGGAGAAAACCGAATTCAACAGTCCACCACTTTCCTCCAAGCGAAACAACTCTTTAGCTCTTTTGAGTCTATTTTCATTCTGTTGCGGTGTAAGTTCTTGTACTTTTTGGAATTTCAATGGCTTTACGCCGAGATCATTTTTCAATATTTTCCGAATGGAATATTGCGATATGGTCAGCTCACGGGCCATTTTCAGCCACTGCTACGCGGGTTTCGATCAAGTCACTACTTTACTTTTCAAACTATTTCTGCTGATGTTGCTGTTTTTTTCCGTCCACTTCCTTGACGTCGGGCTACGATACCAGTATCACGGTAACGAGCGATGGTACGAGACACAAAATATTTATTCACATTTAAATGCTGGAGTGTTCTAAAAATGGCCACTTGTGGTTTCCAGCCAAATATAAAGAAATCACGCTATCACGCTTGAATTCCATCACGGATAACTTTTTTTTCTGGAAAATTCGCACCAAAATGCTTTTGTACGCTTGTAAACAATATAATGAGGAGTGACTGGAATAATTTTAACAGCTGTCGGACGAGTGGCTGACAAATGACAGTAGTCTGAAGTTGGTTGCAGTTTTTTCATATCGCCCTGTATATTCATGATCAGTATAAAATTCTAAGTCGACTTGACGATATCCCCTGTATGTCCGTCTGTCTGTTGAAATCACGAAACAGTCCACATTATTTGACGTAGAGCTTTAAAATTTAGCACAACACTTTGTAATATATCCACTTTTCGTTTATTGCATAGGCCCCATTTAACGGTACCTCCAGATTTTTGCCACATTTTCCACGGATATGTCTAAAAATTGGTATTTGTAGTTCGTAATGGGTTCTAGCTCCTGTGGTGGAATATTGTATGTATAGGACCACGTTATTGTATAGGCGCTATATAAGGCTACCTCCCGATATTTGCCACATTTTCCTACGCATTTGTCTAAAATGTGTTGTTTGTAGTTCTTAATGGGTTCTCGCTCCGGTGGTAGAACATTGAATATATACGTCCAAGTTTTTATATAGCGCACATATAACGGCACCCACCTATATTCTATATTTATACCCTACACCACAAGGTGGTCAGAGTATTATGTCTTTGTGCATTTGTTTGTAACAGACAAAAGGAAACGAGATAGACCCATAGTTCCATTTAATGATCTGCATATAATCACATTCTGAGTCGATTTATGCATGTCCGTCCGTCCGCCCATGTATTTTTGTAAACAAAGTACAGTTCGCATTTATTGACCTATCCAGAAGAAATTTTGCACAAATCATTTGTTTGGCCCAAGGACGAACCCTATTGAAATTGGAGATAATCGGTCAAAATTTAGATATAGCTCCCTTATATATCTTCGTCCGATTTGCCTTTTATTGTGCACCAAACGTGTAATATCAGCCCGAATAGTATGGAATTTTGCACGTACGATCAGATTGGACCTGAAAATAAGTATGCCAAATTTGATCGAAATCGGTTCAGATATAGCTATAGCTCTCATATATTTTGTTCATCCGATTTGTTATTTTTGTCCTCCGCAGCCGTAATATGCAGTCTGTAACAACAATATATAGAGTAATATATCAAATACAGAATCAAATATATCAAATCAGAAATATATTTGCTAAATTTTATCGAGATCGGTTCAGATTTGGATATAGCTCCCATATATAACTTCGCCCGATTTACCTTTGATTGTGCACCAAACGTCTAATATTTCCCCAAATTGGCACATGCGACTGAATTGAGTCTAGAAGCTAGTATGTCAAATTTGGTGAAAATCGGTTCAGATATAGCTATAGCTCCCATATATACTGTTCATCCGATTCGTTATATTTGTTACCCGCAGCCGTAATATGCACTCCGTAACAACGATATTCAGGGAAATATATCAAATACAACTCAGAAATATCTTTGCCAAATTTTATCGAGATCAGATCCGATTTGGATATAGCTCCCATATTTATTTTTATCCGATTTCAAATTAATTGTGCACCAAATGGCAATACAAGTCCGAATTTAAAAGATATGAATGCTTCGGCAAATTTAGTCCTTTGAACTTTAAATTATAATTATAGTCATAGCATATATGATTGAATTCTCCCATAAAAACTTTTAATTGTTATGCGTAGCTCCACTAAATTAGCAAAGTGGTGTAGGGTATCATAAAGTCGGCCCCGCCCGACTTTAAGACTTTCTTTACTGGTTTTGTTTTTACAATTTACCACGATTTTTTTTTTAAATTTGGTATTTAAGACTCGCAAAAGATAACAATCCTCACTCACTTTATGGTTATCCAAACGGTCTTGAAGGAATTTATAGCTTAAAGTGGAACACGCTTGAATTCAGATTCTTTTATGTAACAATTTTTATACCCTCCACCTTGGAAAGGAGGGTATATTAACTTTGTCATTCCGTTTGTAACATCCTTAAATATTCGTCTTTGACCCCATAAAGTATATATATTCATGATCAGCATAAAATTCTAAGTCGATTTAACGATGTCCGTCTGTCTATCTGTCCGTCTGTCTGTCTGTTGAAATCACGATACAGCCCACATTATTTGACGTAGAGCGCCAAAATTTAGCAGAGCTATTTGCATTGTGTCTAGGATGGTTGGTATTGAAAATGAGATATATCGGTCCACGTTCTGGTATAGTCTCCATATAACGGTACCTCCCGATATTCGGTATTTTGATGATTTATGCCACATTTTTTCACGGATTTGTCTGGAAATTGGTATTTGTGGGTCATAATGGGTTCCAGCTTCGGTGGCGAAACATTGCATGTATGGGTCCATGATTTGATATAGCCCCCATATAACGGTACCTCCCGATATTCGGTATTTTGATGATTTATGCCACATTTTTTCACGGATTTGTCTGGAAATTGGTATTTGTGGGTCATAATGGGTTCCAGCTTCGGTGGCGAAACATTGCATGTATGGGTCCATGATTTGATATAGCCCCCATATAACGGTACCTCCCGAGGACCCATTCCTAGTTCGTGTGGCGAAACTTTGTAATTATAGGTCCACGTTTTGGTATAGCCCCCATATAACGGTACCTCGCGATATTCGGTAATTTGATAATTTTTGCCACATTTTTTCACGGATTTATCTGAAAATTGGTATTTGTTGGTCATAATGGGTTCCAGCTTCGGTGTCGAAACATTGCATGTATGGGTCCATGATTTGATATAGCCCCCATATAACGGTACCTCCCGATATTCGGCATTTTTATGGTTTTTGCCACATTTCTTCTAATGTTTATTTTACCCTAAGGTGGAGGGTATTAAAAGTTTGGCCCGGCCGAACTTAATGTTTTTTACTTGTTTCTTTATTCAATAGTAGAGAATATTTATTTATAATTTTATCCCGGCCCAAATTAATGTTTTTTACTTGATCTTAATATATTTTCTAAACCCCATTCTTTTCTTCCTGAAAAGGTTATGATATTTTCCTATTAATTTGAAAATATTTTTCATCAGATGTGCGAACATTTTAAATTGATATATTTTATGCCTCTTTTTTATCGTTTTCCTTTTAGTTACACAGAATCATCTCACACTCAATTCTGGCGTCCTCTAGAATTTCATTATTAGCATCCTTTTCACAGTGAATTGTTTCGCACACGTATCCCATATTAAAGGATTAGCTGTAGACGTGAATGTGGGTATGAAATATATATACACGGTCAAGTGCCTCAACCGCAGAAGGTCTGACATAAATTGGTAGCCTCCATACACACACACACACACACACACACATCAGTTTGGGCAAACTAAACCGCAAAAGTTTGTTTTTGTTTTTTTTGCGTTTATTTCAAATTTATTTTATTATTGATGGAAAACTGTTGGCTTGTTTTTATTTTTGTTGTTTTTGTTGGGGATACGAAAATATTCTTATTAATAAATTATGATATAGTAAAAACAAAAAAAAAAAATGAAAACGTACGATCGAAGCAAATGGTAAGAATAACCACAATTCGACATAGTCTGCCAGCTTTCCCATAAACTTATATTTTATGG